TGAAGCTCATGGAGAGAATGCCAAGAGTGTGCAAAGCAGTAATCAGAGCAAAGGGTGGCTATTTTGAAGAAACTAGAATATAAAACATGTTTTCAGTTATTTCACCTTTTTTTGTTAAGTACATAACTCCACATGTGTTCATTCATAGTTTTGATGCCTTCAGTGAGAATCTACAATGTAAATAGTCATGAAAATAAAGAAAACGCATTGAATGAGAAGGTGTGTCCAAACTTTAGGCCTGTACTGTATATATATATATATATATATATAAATATGTATATATTCTGGGTCGCTTTTTGGCATCAAAACAACGTTTTTGATAACGTTTGATAGCAAATGTTAACAAACGTTAATTACAAACGCAGTGACGTTTGCTAGCAATATGTTTTTGCATTAATGAATTAACTTAATTAACTTATAGTTTGAGATATGTTGTTTGCAACTGTTTGCTGAAGAGCATAGTAATTTATGTGAATAAATAAACATATTCCTTTTACATTAACTCCCTATTATGCTCATAAGTTATATGAAACTTCCCCAGGAGCACTGTTAAAGTATTTTGGAGGAGGCACTGACTCAGCCCAGGGGCAGTCCACCTCCTCAGGCTCAGCCAAGGATAATGAATCAAGTGAGGGAAAAACTGTCACCATATTTAATTTCTTGTCAAATTATCTCATTAAGATTAAGATATACTAATATAAGATATAATCATATGACAAGGGACATGTTTTTCATCTTAGGTCCATCTCCATCCTCCACTCCATCCACTGTGCCCACTGTCTCCTCTATTTCTGCTGCAACCTCAGCTGTACCTGGTAACAAAAACAGCCTTTGTAATTGCTCAGTGTGGAACATTCTAAGATGAATAATTTTCAATATAAGACATAATCATACGAAAAGGACAAATGCATATTATTTCAAAACTTCTCAAGCAATTTTCAATTATTCCACTGGCAGATTGTTTTCTTATTTCAAGCTATAGCTGTACTATTTTATTTAGAAAATAAGCAGCATCATTTTCAAGTGTAATATGACATCTAACATGACTAGCTTTTGTTGTTGTTTTTCATCTTAGGTCCATCTCCAGCCTTTGCTCCATCCACTGTGCCCACTGTCCCCTCTGTGTTGCAGTTTATTTAAAACAAAAAAATAATAAAGCAGATTGTGTTTACAGTAAATGGTTTATTTTGTTACTTTTAGTTGGCCTAGATGACATTTGGTATCCCACTTAGTACTATATCACTTTGAGTATTGAGTGTAAATCAACCCTCGCTGCTCTTGTAGCTGAATTTGCTACCATTTCAGATTAAAAACCATAAATGGGTAAAACATGCCGGGTTATTCTTTGAGGTTTTATGTATTGATTCTCTGTGTGGCCAGTAGGGGGAGTTGCTGACTTTGCCAGATATTAATTGAAAGATTTTTCTGCAAGAGCATATACCAAGAGCATGGTGTAGGGCAGGGGGTGTCCACATTCCTAAGGAGAAGGAGTCTGTGGACCTTAGCCAGTTCCGGATGATTTCTCTCTTGAATGTGGAGGGGAAGAATTTCTTTAGTGTAGTTGCGCAGAGATTAGCTAGCTACTTAGAAAGGAATAGCTTAATAGATATCATGGTGCAGAAGGCAGGAATACCAGGTTTTTCAGGGTGTTTAGAGCATACTAGGATGATCTGGCACCAGATTCAGGCAGTGAAGATTAACAAAAGGGACCTGCATGTAATATTTTTAGATCTTGCAAATGCGTTTGGTTCAGTACCGCATAGCTTCATTTGGAGTGCGTTTGACTATTTCAGAGTGCCACAGGTAGTTGTCAATTTAGTGCAAGCATACTTTCAGGATATTAGGTTGTGTCTAAGTATGGCAGGCTTCACAACAGGTTGGCAGAGGCTAGAAATAGGCATTATGGCAGGGTGTACAATTTCTCCATAAGCATTTACTATTGCGATGGAAGTAATCATCAGGGCTTCTAAGTGGGTGGTAGGTGGAGAGAGACGGCAGAACAGGTTGCATCTTCCACCAGTTAGGGCTTACATGGATGACATGACACTGGTGACCACAACAATGCCATGTACAAAGAGGCTACTAGAGAAGGTAACTAAGAACCTCAAGTGGGCCAGCATGAAGATCAAGCCTAGTAAGTCTAGAAGCATCTCGATAATGATGATGAGGAAATCCCAACAATTAGGGAAAAGTCAGTAAAGAGCTTAGGTAGGTGGTACAATGTGGAGTTGAATGATAAGGAACAGGTGGTGAAATTTAGAAAAGATGTGGCAGGATTGGATAGAATAGATAAATCAGAACTTTCAGGAAAGTTGAAGTTGTGGTGTTGTGGTGAAGTTGGGCTATATCCTAGGTTAATGTGGCCATTGTTAATTTATGAAATTCCAATATCCGTTGTGGAGAGAATTGAAAAGTCAGTTAGCTCCTATATTAGGAAGTGGTTGGGCACTCCTAGGTGCCTAAGAAGTGTTGCATTGTATGGAAAAGGGATACTTCAGCTACCAGTATCTAGTTTAACAGAGTAATTTAAATGTACCAAGGTCAGGACAGAGCTCTTGTTATCTGGGAGTAAGGACGTGGTAGTTAGGAGTGTGGTTCCAAATCCAACCAAGGGGAGGAAGTGGAACCCAAGATCGGCAGTTCAGGAGGCAGAGGCAGCTCTTAGACATGCAGAGATTGTAGGTAATGTTCAGTTTGGCCGGGGAGGCCTGGGGCTTGGCTCAGG